ATCCTTAATCAACCAGGATTCTTGAACACAGACTGCACATGTGTTCGTATGAATTCTTGATCGGAGGAAACTAGTTAAATCCGACATTTTGGGAAACAGGGACCGAGTGTTGGTGCTGANAGAAGTGTGAAGGGATTCATTTACAATGGAGGTAATTGCCCCAGCTAGGGAAGCAGCACCAAATTTGAAGGGGGCTGGATGTAAGTCATCCGGGCCTGCAGCAGAAGGCGATTTGCAACTTTTTAAAAGTTGTAATACATCACAATATGAGAGTGGTTCCACATTACAAACATTTTGTGACTAGTAGGCTGGAAGAATGTCCGATGTGTAGGTAGGCACTCGATACCTTTTGAACAGTACTGATAAACAACATGGGACTTGCAACACAAGGAAACGTTGATATATGTTGCAACACCCCCTCCGGTTCCACGATCTTGCCGGTAAACTTGAAAACCGTCTATTGACACTAGAGAGTCATCTACATCCTTAATCAACCAGGATTCTTGAACACAGACTGCACATGTGTTCGTATGAATTCTTGATCGGAGGAAACTAGTTAAATCCGACATTTTGGGAAACAGGGACCGAGTGTTGGTGCTGACCAATGAGGGGACAGTCATCTTTGATAAAGGGGTGCAATTAAGGGTAACTTGCCATCCTGCACCCTTGCGTTTTTTGTTCCAGCCTGGACAGTGAGAAGATGGAGTCGTACAAACCGCTGAACCATGGAAGCATGTCCTGGCACGTTTGAGACAAATAATATCATCCCGTGAGTAATGACGGTGCATGATAGTGAGTGAAAGGGTGAAAATTCCCACAATGTGACGGAGAGCGTCTAAGTGTAGCGCAGCCAATCAAAGGGCGCTGTCTAGTGCCTGTGTTAACTGGGAATGAAGCCATGGTTCGACCGTGCGTACACTTTGCTCGCGCACAACTGTCTGTATCGACACATCAAAAAATGTATTCGATTTCATCGATTGGAATACTAGTAATACACATCTTATTGTGGTAGTGAGTATTAGGTGAATCTCTCAATAACGAGGGACCTGCGGTAGCGAACTACACAAGTCTCGTAGAAAGAGTATCTTTTGAGTCGGTCAACAGCAAAGCTGCCTACCACCCAAAATTTGAACATTTTTCTTCATCAATCTACTCCTTTGTGAGGTTGCGTCTACTAGGGAAACTGAGCAAGCAACGACTTTAAATGTCTGATCGTAGTTAGTCGAGCAGAAGTTCCCAATATCTTATCGGTTGTTTGTTGTGAGACAGCAACTTCACTTTGTTGTTGATGTTCATTTTATCTGTAGCGGCAATACCAAGAAACAGCTTTCAACCTTTGCGAAGACTGCGCTCGATGTTATGTGTTTCATGGCTGTCTGATGTATCGTTTCAACCCAGTTCGTTAACATCGTGTATTTCTTTCAGACTGATGCCGACTCACACAGTAATCAGAGTCGATATTTGCTCCTTTTTGCGACGAACCATTTTCATTGTTAGAACCGTGCACGATTCATCAACCAAACCACTACCGTTTTGATTTTGTGTACAGGTATTGACCAAACTCGTGCAAAATCCTGATTTTAATCATATTTTTTTCTCTCATTGCTTCGTTTTTCCAGCCTCATTCACGAAATGAAATACGATATTGCACCACACCAAACGCAGCATATCGGATATAATACCCACTTATACCCACTTATGGCTATGCTTCTATTAGTCATATGCCATTAAAATGTTCGATTTTTCGATTTTGACAATGGTTGCTGGTGCGTCAGTTGCAAACTACTCACAGTAGAAAACATAATTAGAATTTATTTATTGAAATAATTCACAGACTTCAATCAGGTATTGTACTTTCATCTCGTTCATGTTCAATTTGCCCTTCTTCATTTTTGAGCACTAGAGGGAGTCGCTTTAACATGGAGTCCACGAAGCTGACTGCCAAACACAATTTTCCAGTTTGCTCTAATACAACCCGCACCCTAATCACTGAAGACCAATGTCGAGACCGCTGACTTATCCCTATTTCTGATACAAAAAAAGTTTTCAATTAAATTAAAATCCCAACTGTTGCGCGATAATTTAATCCAAATTCAAATTTTTAGTATGGGTAAATCACAAAGTTGATGCTTATTTAATCCCATAGGATCTGTACACACTGGGTTCGGTTGGTAGTACAATTGAATAGCAAATTCTAACGTTCACTCACGGGTACTAAATAGTTAGTTGGTTCAATGACTCATCCAGTGGTGACTTGAATGAATCGATGGTTGGTGTACAAACAGCTTGAGGTGGAAGAGAGTTCTAGGTGTTACAAACTCTGAGGCTGAAAGAATGACGGCTGCAGTCGAGCCGGCTCTTTTAGAGCAGAAGTTTAAACACATGTCCTCCGAGGTGACCGTTCCTGGATAGCGTTAGTAGAGTACTACACGAGTGGTTAGGTTGATGTAGTATTTGATATACAAGGATCATGTCTCCCCGTATTCGACAGTATTCAGACAAATAGAGTCTTTCATCGTAGGTCTTAGATTGTAACCCTGACCATTCTGTTTTCTGCGGACGTTCGAGTACCTTTTGGTGGCGAGTCAGTCATGGATTCCAAGCCTGTATAGCATACGCGATGTGGTCTAATGTATGCTGATAATAAACTGGGCAATAGGCCTGTTTCGAATGATCCAAAAACACGTTTTAGCAATCCAACGTGTTTTATAGCCTTTGAAGATGCTCTTGCGCAATTTATGGAACATCCCTGATCCTCACGAACGATAATTTCCAGGTCCTTTTCGTTTGGAGAACGCGGCAATGGCTGAGTTCCCAATAAGCATGGAAAGCGAACCCTGTAGCGTAGCGATACAACATTGCATTTTTCAACGTTGAATTCGATGTCATTAATGATGGACCATCGACCTCGAGAGTTCCCTGCAGGGTTTCGTAATATTTTACCATCCATGTTTTGGCGTCATCAGCGAATAATAATGCCGTTTCTCCAAGGACATCTGGTAAGTCGTTTATGAATGCTAGGAGAAGGTACGGATCTTTGTGGAACTCCACCAACACCCTCAGTCAGTCCCGACAGAGAACCATCAACTCGAACCGATACGGTACGTTGTCGAAGAAATTCCTCAATCCAGTCCAGTAGCAGTCCTCGGACACCGTAATTATGGAGCTTTAGCAACAATATATGGTGCTTAACCCTGTCAAAAGCTTTCGAAAAGTCTAAGTAAACTACGTCTACTGCCTCTCTTGCGTCGACTGATCTTGACCATTCATCTTGTGCAAGTAGCAGATTTGTGGTACACGAGCGTTTCCTTCGAGACCCGTGTTTGACATTGAACTTTACCCCTCCAGACACTTAATAAATATGAAAAAATAATATTTTATGAGGTTGAACCGTTTTTACTACCAACCTTAGGCGAGAAAATATACCAACCGTCATCCGTGGAAGATATGACTTCCGCGAATGCATTTAAAGAGAAGCATTTACTAAAAGCCGCCCTCATCACTGCAAAACATTTTACGGTATCCTAAGAGGTGTGTGCAGGAGAACAACAAGGCACTCAGTATTTCCTTTCCTTCCAACTCGTCAGGCGGAATGAATATTTACGTCTTTTGACAGGTAAAACGAAATTCATTAGAAAACTAGCTTAGTAGGTCAGCTTTCACCGCATACTGAATCACGCGTTGACTACCAGTGAGGTAAACCTATCGCCAAAAGGACGGGCAACGCGATTTAAATATGTTGGTAAAATAAATACGTGCTCTGTTTTGTTGGGCTTTCCATAACGGCTTCATATCACGTGGCGTTAGCTGCATTTTAAATTGAGCCATCATTTTCCAAACGGGAGCGTGAGGCAAAACGGTTAATCAACCCGGACTATCCTCCAGATTGTTTTGTGCAACTCTTCTCTGCTGCGATCAAATACAACCATCGTCTTGCTTTGTAACGATCGGTTTTCTCCCTCCCGGTTTATGTCTTGATGGAAAAATTTCGTTGAATATTCAAGAAATTTGACTTATGTTCACATTGAAGTATTTCCACATGATACTAACTGAGTCATTGGCTTTATGTGCCTCTCGAATAAGTTACCTCTCGGCTTCAATTATATACCAAAATATCTGGGAAGTTTCAGCCGGTTTGGGGAGGTGTCACTACAACACGCTTATTCAACGAGCCGTACACCTCAAGGTCAGCTTTCAAAGATCGACTTGTATATTTCTTTGACTATATTTTCGGTTATTTCAGTATTGTGCATAATGCGAGAGTAGTCGGTAGTCAAATAATTCATCAATTTATTTAAGTTAGAACATTTTCATTTACTTGCTTATTTATTGTGCACTAAATGAAAAGAGATAAACAATTTGAAATGCGTGTGCTCAACTTAATAAACACTCATGAAACAGGAATCATTTATTATAAAGAATAAATTCCTATGCTGCTTTGCGTAAAATATTTTCGAAATCTGAACTGTAGCTTTCGAACTACTATAGATTTTATCGCAACACTCAAGGTCACGATAATTGAAACGGTGATAGAAGAGATCTAAGAACATAGAAGTGAGAGATAAGATCAGTAATTAATACACTTCACCCGTAGTAATCAATAGACAAGTATAATATTGGAGACTGAAATGTATTTCCAAAATGAGAGTGATGTTGCACGAGTTTGATCAACACCTGTACGTATGCCTTAGTGGACGAATTGGAGCTAGTTACCTGTTTGAGTTGCCGGCAAGTACCTCTTGAGTGCATAACATTTTCGGCGGAAATCAGAGTTTGACAGCTGGTAAAGTGCACTGAATAGCTATTTCACCCATGTTTGGACTCATCAGTAGCGGGTACTTTTCGTTGCCTTGCTGAAGCTCGAACTTTCATGTTGCGATCCGAAAGCCATATCCTCAAGCTGCAGGGTCAACGGCGAATGCGTTGACAGAATGACTATAATAATTTAGAATGTGCTATGGTTAGTCCTGTTTTCTTCTCAACACGAGGCACTGCATACGATAATCTTTTTGATCCATGAAATATCTATTCGCGTTTGGAAACAATAATTCGTACATTTTTCATCTCCCTCATCCTTTCACTGCGTTTTTTTATAGTGTGCTCAATACGGACAATATGAGTATTTTGGGACTGACCATGGACTACGGTCCCTTTGGATTCATGGATCGATTCATGTGGGATCATATCTGCAATGCTTCCGACACAGACGGGCGTTACACATACGCCCAACAGCCGTCTGTATGCGCGTGGAACTGTGCGCGACTGGCCGAGTGTCTGATCCGTGTCCTGGGCGAGGAGTCCAGTTCCCTAACCGCCGGTCAGTCTGGCTCCGAGAAAAAGGAAGAAACAAGCCTAGTGGCACGTTTCCGCACGGTTTTGGACAGCACTTACACACAGACATATCTGAAAGTGTATTTACAACAAATGCGCAAAAAGGTACGTTCGTTCAGTTCACCCGTGTTTGTATGTTCTTGTGACAGGAGTCTCATAGACAGATTTGCTTTATTTGGATGATGTAGCTGTTATCACATTGAATCTGACCCGTTACTTCTTTCATCGGATCTATTTCGGTTACTCGTTGAATCGAATCAGTACAGTTCGTTTGACGTACCAGCTTGAGTATTTACCAAGGGGGGGGGGTATGGCGTCTTTTCCTTAGCTCAGACATGCATGCATGCTGTGTTCTTCTTATTCCATTTATTTTGTCTCCTTTCATTTTTATTCCATTATCCGAGTTTGTTTCATTCATAAATCTCGCAGTTCTAAACACTAAAGTGTCAGAACACCAGGGTTCGTTCTCGTGAGATACACGTCGGGCCCCTCCAACCAACTACTGAGTTGGAGACACGGAAGGACGCAATAACCAACTGATAATAGTGATTTTCTTTTCACTACCTATAGTTCGGTTGGCGCATGTAATGTGGCTTCTATACACAATGTGGCTGTGCACACAATGTGTGCTCGCCACAGACGTTCCCTTTCTCTTTCTCAAGCAGCTACCTTCCCCATCCACTTTACACGGTTGACCTCACCATGGATCCATTCAATATCTGTACATTATCAATGAACGTTGTCCGACCGGATTTCCTCGTTTTCATTCTAGTGGTGAAATATACTAATCGAATATCCAAGTTTGGAAATGTTTCTGTTTTCTGGACTTATTTCGCTCGTTCAGATGAGACGTTGTGAGTGATGATAATACAACTGTCCAACACACCGGCACTCAGAATTTGCGTAATTCGATTGTGTTCCTCCCTATTTCGAGCACTAATCTCAATCTCTATTTCATAATTGTGTTTATTCCCGTCTGCTGATCAATATTCAGCTTGGACTGTTCGCATCGGATGTTTCCGAAGATGATCTTTTGTTCAAGTCTCTTTTCGACACTATGGAACAGACAGGTGCTGATTTCACCAACACATTTCTGGCCTTGGGTTCATGCGTTGCGGATGCCACGGATCAGAATTTGGATTTCCGTGAAACGAAACTCAATCCGGATCAATTATTGGACGAGTGCTGTGATGTAGATGAGTTACGAGAAGCATACGAGCCGTCTGATTTAGAACGGTAGGTTCCCTTGCTCCCTGCTGGTTATTGATCGCATTTTAGGGAATGTTACATCATGGTGAGGGTAAGACCAAATTTATTGCCGAAGAATAAATCTCCGATTAAAGTCCTAGGATTGGGAGTGTTTCAGGCATGATAGTATTTATGTCTTTATCACCGGTTTGCGCGCAAGCTTGGTGCCAGTGCAACAACAAAATAAGCANGGGGGGGGGGGGGGAGATCAGGATACAAAGCAGAGTGAAAAAGGATTAGACAGTCATGCCATGATCTGACCGCCGCGGCGCTTCTTCCAGCCTTGCGCAGCACGTGAAAAGAGGGCATGGAAAGGTAGACGATGGGCAGGCATACACAAAACGTGACCAAATCATTGTACGTGGCTCAGAGCGATTGCTTCTTGTAGAGAACGACACACGACGACGAACTTCTTCACTCAGTTCAGTGCAGTTTGTACAACCATTAACCATGCACTTCCGTGCGCCGGTTTTGATTGCTCTCTTTTGGCCGCCCATTTAGGTGAACAGTAGGATAAAGACAAAGTTGAAAGTAGAGTCAAATAGAAAATGAAGATGTTCAGTGGACTAAAGACGCAAGGAAATTGAGAAGACGCACGAACGCCACTGTCTACGACGCTCAGCCATATCACTCAGTGTCTTTAACCATCGGTTACGATCATCCCGAGGTCCCCATCCAGAGAGCCTAGCGGGAGCTATATGGCCATGTCCCTTGATTAAGGTTTTCATATCCTCATGCCAGGTCTTAGATTGACCACCCTTGACTTTTGTTCACCCACTACCTGCCTCGGAGAACATCGCTCGCCGTGGCAACTTATCTGGTGACATGCGTTACATATGCCACAACCAGCGCAATCTATGGAGGTCGATCACTTGCTCCTGTGGGCAACCGCGATTACCAAAAACTCTACACCGGACCGCAGTATTGCTCGTTCAGCTGCTCCCCTCAGATGTGCATGATACATACATACATATACACTAATTTCAAAATGATATTTGTGAAGGACATAAGTCTGATCTGGTATTCTTATTTTCCGTACATCATCGTTGCTATTTTGTTTGTGATTCTCTGAATTTCGACACCAGACAACGCGAAATGTTACACCGATTTGCCGGGATCGTTCGCCATCTGATTGAACGTATTGATGATGGAAAAGTACTTGGAACAGAAGAGAAGGCGCGTCGACTTCAGTCGCTTGAGGTAAGCTCAATTTTATCGAATCGTAGAATCAAACGCATTTGTTTTAATCAAATCCGTTTCCTGTTGCAATTGTTACCACTATTCCGCATCTACTACTTCAGTGGTATGCGGTTGCACTTCAGATCCCTATCATTCCTACCGTCGCTGACTGTCATTTGCCGTTCAATCCAGCTGCTGTACTTTGTCTGATCTTTGCGGATTTAGATCAATGTTTCAATGAGTTAGCAACCGAAATCATGGAACTCAATGCCTAATGGATATCGATGCCCATAATCAGTCGCTCATTCACATTTTGGATGCAATCCAATTCTTTTCATCGCTGTACGTTTATATCATAGGTTGAGTGAGAAAGCATCTATTACAATAGTTAACTCGGTGTTAGATCCACTCAAACTATTGTGTACCCCCAGTCAC